CACGCATTTGACATCGGACTTCTCGGTATCATATGATCCGACAATGTAGTATACAAGATGAAGGCAAGATATTAATTTTAGACAAGGCACATATACTGGGTGCTTCGAAACAAACCACTCTCACTCAAGCCGGAAAAAGCAGAAATGAAATCTTGATCAGAGAGAGGAAGGGCATTTTCAATAATTAACTTTGATTTCTAAGAAAATATTTGCACAGATTGCCTCTTCTTTAATTACCTACCCACATTTTTAAGAGCAACGAAAAATTAATATTGTTCTATGAGATTTTGTATCATCTAATACTTACTCATCTACAAAGTTAGTCCAACATTTTGAGAGAACCTGTATGTATAATTTTACTTAGTTTTAGTTATTTATTTGTTGTTTACCAACATACTTATAATTTTCTCACAAGCAATAAATTCAAGTCTCAACCTAATAGTTCTCCAAAAATAGTCTTATCAAAAGAGTTTTTTTTAGTCCTTAAAAATCAACTTGTTATATTATATTTGAGGACTTACTTAAAATTTTGACTGATACTTTATAAAATTTTGTTTCAACATATTCCTCTTATTCTTAAGGGGTAAATGAGAAACATTTTGGAATAAAAAGAATAATAATTAATTAAAATGTGTTCGACAAGTTAATTAAACAAAAAAAACATCATTTTTTAAATACTACCTAAATTTAAAATTTAAATTTTAGCCCCTAGTACCTGCAGTTCCAAAACAAATGGAAATGAGAGTAGAAGTCTAAAAAATATTGTAAACAATGGAATTTAAACGTTTCAATACTTTTCCTCCCAACAGAAAATTAAAGTGACGCTTTATTCCCTCATTTCTGACTAATAATCTGGTAGGTACTTAAATAAATGAAATTCCGATTTTTACTCTTAAAATAAACTGGAGTTAAATGAATCTTTTGAGTGTTTTTTGACATAAACAAACCCCATGTCACCGATTTTTACTCTAAAAATTTCAGTTGTTTGAACCGAATATGTATTTTGACAAAATATTTGACATTTTACAAATTTATCATTTTTCATTAATTTAGTCGGGAATGTTTTGTGTGTAGCTCTAGAATGTACATAGTTATTTACTTTCTTGATAGGTACATAAATAACTATTAACCGTACCACATTTCAGTACAATTTATACAGGGTGTTTACAGTCTAGGAGTTGAAAAGTGACCTAGTAATAGAAGAGTACAGAAATACTGTAACCGAGAAAAAAACTCACACAATTGTTATTATTAAGAATGCTATTAACCTCCAAAATATTGGTGCACGGTTTGAGGGTCACTGGAATTATTTCCTTGTCCAGATAATATTGTATTGTTGCAACAGATAAAAAAATCGTATCCATGACAATGAAAGAGAAAAGTCACTTCATAGTTTTGACAGTGCCATCATTTGATCTGCTTTTGCTTTAGTTTTTATCAAAATTCGAAGATTTTCTGTTTAATTTCTTCCAGCAAAATGGTTTCCAACAGGTTTGATTCGTTTTTCTTATTTTTTTTCCAAATTTATGAATATGTATGACAAATATTAAAATAATAAATTGGTCGTCGTGATTATGATTAACGGTGAAACACAAAGTAATGATAATAATATAATACTAATGGTCATTGTTGCAGCCGAAGCAGCAGTTCTCAAACAAATAGTATAAAATGAATTATAACGCATATAACATGAATTTTTGTTTTAGATAGCGTATTAGTTTTCTTCTACCGTTAATATCATCTCATTTAAATTTCAACCCCAAGACCGTAAACACCCTGTATACAAGATAGGTATGTATTAACTAGATCCAAATTTTTAAGCGACCTTGTCAGGGCTTCTATACCCATCATTTTGGGCCACGCTGTATTCGGAAATACCCGCTCGCTTTTCTGATTTAATCGCACTCCCTTCATGACCGAATCAAAATGGTGGTCTTGTCTACAGTTGGCTGAAAAATCCGACGCCGTCATGCGTGTAGAGCGTCGCGACGCCGACCACTTCAATAAAACCTTAACTGTTTCGATCTAAATTTACGAATCTGGTGTTTTTTTCTTATTAGCGAACGTGACATTTGCCCGTTTATGCACTTTACGATAGTGTGCCATGGATCGCTAGTCTTCTGTTCTTTTTCTGTATGTTGGCAATGGCGGCCGTCAGGCTCGGTCACCTCGCCTGAAACAATTGCGCTTTGCTCCACAGCTAACTGTGAAATCTCATACATTGTAATTGAATGTAATTGTCCGTTCATACGCGCACCTACACCACATCTGCTGGAGCACGTTTTGCAAATTATTATTTGAGGTTATGCCATTCAGACTTATTATGTTTCATTTTATTTGCTTCATTATTACATATGGCGGGTTTTTATTTCACGGCTGCGCTTTATTTTTATTCAGATAGGCTGCGATAAATCGATTCATTTTCAGGTGTTTCACACACATTGTTGCAAGAATTATTATTTCAGACACAAGCAAAATAAAACTATTTCGTGGAAACATGTCCCAGAAATAACAAAAAATCAATCTTAGCTAGGCCAAGACGACATTTTTTTCACTTACTTTTGGAACATGCTATAAGTTGGTTCTCTACAGGTTGACCCAACTAAAATTTCGATAAAACTTCCTTAAACTTTTTGTAACTTGAAATGTGGGTCGATACCAAATTCAAGACAAAAGCGAAATAAATATAAAATAAAAAACCACTTTGTTCTGCATCTGTTCTGTCAAATTATTTTAAACTGCTTTTTATTAATATATGCACATTTCGTGGTAAAATGACCATTTCATTTTGTGTAATGACTCCTGATTGTAGGTTTCCCCATTTCGGGAATATCTCCTAATGGCTTGGACAAATTTTTTGATCTATTTTCCTCTGTTTATAACTATAAACCAATTACGATTTTACATTGAAATTATTGGCAATCAGAAAATTGTCCTAATTATGTCGTGACCTAAAGGAATCGTGCTGCTATTAAAATTATTAAATGTTAGTAATGTTATATTTGAGTTGCAGTTTCTCGGAAAGGAAGATCACAGTTTTACTTGCCCCGCCGTACAATAACAGTAGCGTAGAGCGGGTTTTTTCTACCTCGAAATCCTGCAAGTAAATTATCTTTGGCAAAACAGCGAAACAGCCACGGGGTTTTTAATTCCGACTACGTCTCTAATAATGAATGGTTTAAAAATCGCGAGGCGTCTGTGGATTTATAGAAAATTTTCTTTTCACTCTTTGTGCAAATGTGAGGTGACGAGTGGCACTGGTCGCTGCAGTTGCACCCTGCTGGCTAGATGCAATCTTACACGCGATCATAACGTGCATACACGAAAGAAACTTCAAGATTTCTAATGTTGTAAAGAACGGAAAAACAGCGGCGCTATTTCGTATTCAGATGCATCCCGAATTCCTCCAACAAATGAAATAGTGATGTCTGACGGGAGCACGACTATCAGTGGTAGCTATCTGACAATCCCTCCTTGACACGTTTCCTTTCGACACCCCTCTTTGATGCCAGCACGTGCTCCAATAAGAAACACACCCCGGATTTTTAGTCAAGGATACCTCCACATAAATGAACTGTTGGAAAGATTATTATAGGTGGTAAAATACGAGAGGATTTATGGGTTATTTACGAAAGGGGTGAGATTTTGCTGACAAAAGACACTCCAGCTAGGAAATATGTAAGTACTTGTATGTTTCTTGTGAATAAAAAACTTTAACTTTTTGAGTCCTCTTAGTAGCAATGAACTACATAATTTTTTCAAATATTTCTAGAATACGTATACATGTTGTTTTTATTTAAATAGAAATAACTAAATTCCTAAGATTTAAACGGCTTTTCAAATTAGCGCTAATAAGAGAAGTGAAATCAAAATTGAATAAAGCATTTGACATAATTAAATAATAAATTGATGATTTCTAAAACTTTTTTTTAATCTTTGATATACGAAAATCCAGATTTTAACTTCAAGGCAAGTAGAAAAATCCTTAAAATTTCAATAAAACTACTACTTAATTGGGGGGAGTTAAATAGAGATAATTTCCAGAAATGAAAATTCGCTGTGTAAATTTTTAATAAATTCTCGTTTCAGATTTGATCCTCTCTCTACATCTTAGATTTTTCACATGGTGAATTTAATTCAAAGTAGATGTTTACTTCTAAAACACACCAACTATCGTCTGATGGAATTTTACTCTGATTAATTGGTAAGACAATCAAAACATTTATCGTCAATGGTTCTAATTATTCAGGATTTTACCATTAGATGAAATCATTAAACCGCTGTTTACGATGGAAATGTAGGTAGAAACATCACTGATAATAAAAGTAGGAGTTATGGTGTTCAGTAAGCAAGGAGGGCAATGGATTTATAATAGTTATTAAAACCTTTCCATTTTATTTTTGCTCTAATATTTTCACGATTATGGGTTTTTACGAGGTACTGGTTGTTAAAATCGAAGAAATAAAGCAGTTTAAAAAGCAAAATATTAATTTAACTGAAAAGAGAATCTTCTGCCAAAAAAATCTAATTTGGTGGCAAGGTGGTCAAAGGATCCTCCTTTACCCGGAAAACTGGATATAAGATAATTTAAACCTCTTCAGTTTAAAGCCGGTGGTATAAAATTAGCCGAATCACCGTCAAGATGATTCGGCTAATTCGAGAGAATTAAACAGTAGCGACCCCTGTAATTCAATAACAGCTTAATAGCACACCCCGAAATTTGATAGATGCGTTTAGCGTGATGCGATTACCGTAATTTTAAAGTTGCTACCGACGCTAAATCAACAATGATTTATTAGAAAAACATCCAAACAGAGTGAAAAAAAAATAGTGTGTGAGTAAACCGTCGCTAAATCGTGTCTGATTTACGACAAAGAGTCATTGTTGCAAAGTTACTCATCTCGAATTCTCGCAAGGCAGGTATTAGCTATTATTCGGGGGTGAAATTGAGTTTCCGAGAAGGACAGTTTGGTCAAAAAAATCTTCAAGTTTCGACTTACCCCGTTTCTGCATGAACGAGAAGAGATCATCGAGGAATTCTTTCCGTTTGGGGTCGTCGTTGATTTCATACAACTGAAACAAAAAACTAATTAATCGACGATGCCACTGCCAAGGAGAAAATTACAGCGAGGCGTGTGATTTATGGTGAATTTTGAAGGGAATTGCTGCTTTAAGCGCTTTATTTGTGTAATTAACGGACATAAACGTGGCGCGTTACAATGTTGGGTGCATTTTTAGCGAGGCACGTTTATCGTGAAGAATATTGTTAACTATTAATATTATTGCGGAAACACACTTATCAATAAATTATCGCGTTTTAGAATATGCACATTGTTCGTATCACGTAGAACAGGCTGATAAAGCTCGAGCTTTGTGAAGTTTTCCGCTATAAAAGTAATTACCGACGCAAAACAATCCGATAAATTCGCAAAGTTACGAGAATATTGGGATTATCCGCGCCTTTTATTGCGCTTTTATGCCTCGGACGCTTCCATAAAAAAGACGAATAAAATGGCCGGTTAATAATATCGTGATTAATTGCGTAAATTCTCAGGGTTCGCTTTATGAACTGTTCTCATCTCGAGGCCCAGATCATCTGAAATGTTTGTGTTGTGTGGTATTTTAAAGTTGCTGCCTTTAAACTTTTTATGCCGTGTTTTATTGGAGCTTATCCTTCAACTTTAAATTATCTCAAACATTAATTACCATTTCCAAATTAACTTTTTTACTGGATATTAATTACTCATCATTTAGTCTGTTTCTAATTATAGACATCACGGATCTTTAATGTAAAGAAATTAAATTCCATCATCATCAACACAATTCTCAAAAAAATATATAATCATTTCCAGTTTTATCACTTTCGGTATAAATAGGTATAAAGATAAATTAAAAATTAAAAAGTCGCCATTATGCTTGTGTATCCATTTTTTACACGACAATTAATTTTATTACAATAATGCCAAGCTTATCGACACGACAGCTGTATATAAAATGCTGGTATCATTGACATGGTCGCTTTATTATAATTTTACAACGAAAAAAGAATTTAAATACGGTGGCCTCTTATCAGGTACACATTCTACTATTTAAAACAATAAAATTATGGGTTTTACATTATGCTATCGGAGTCTCTTCCTCAATTCCCCTTATTGCTTTACGGGTTTTCCCATTATAACAAAATAAAAGCAAAATAAAAATAAGTTTGGGTGAGATTGATACATCATAATAAAAAACCGAAAACTAAATATAACAATTAAAGACACTGTATGTATCTAATTATTGTAATATAAAGCCATCATTGGAATGAACTTTTCTTAATTTGTTTAGTGTTCCATGAACGAAGATTCCTCATTGGTTACACTAAACAAAAATAAGTGAGTTTTTAAACTAATACTTCTTAGCAAAAGGCGTACCACTGACAGCGGAAATAATCAAACTCTGTCTAAATTTTCAGTTTCTATATACCTATACAGTGTGACCCCGAATAGCTGAAACGACTCTTGTAAAAGATAAAAATTCTCGATTTCAGTTTTCATTTTTTGAGTTTGAGGTACTTAGTTAAAAACTAATTTATTCAAACATAATTTTAGTTTTGAAAAATCAAGAATGAGCCAAGTTATTTTTCTGTAAAGTGCATTTTATGTGACAAATACGATAAAAAGTTTTTAAGAAAAGTTTCAAAGATAGTTTTAATAATAGTAAATAACAGATACCTACGTTAAAAAGTAATTTAGTAGTAATAACCTAAGTGTGATTTTTTTTTATTCATAATAAAAAAACTGTTAACAATAAAAAAAATTGTTTTCTGAAATAAACATTAAAAAAATAAAATTAGATTTTGAAATTTGGTATAGGGGCCCAGATGTTGATTCTAACTAGCTTTTCATCAAAGTTTCCACATAAAAGGCACTTTACTGTAAAATAAGTTTTTTTAAAATTTCCAAAGCATACTTGATTTTTCAAAACCAAAATTATGTTAGAAATTAGTGTTTAACCTTACAGGGCTAATCTCAAAAAATGACAATTTAGATCACGAATTTTTTTCTTTTACAGGAGTCGTTTCACCTATCCGGGAACACACTGTATATGTACCTACTTACAGAAATAAAAATTAGCTATTTTTTTGCAAAACCTGTTTAGGTACAGATTTTTCCATTCATGTGTTATGGCGTTTATGTTTATGTTTATGTTAATATTAATAAATCACCAATTACAATACTTCAAAAACTCAGAACTCAGAAAGATTTCACAGGTTCTTGAAGTTTGAATTGATGAAACCACGAAATAAAGTCGCGGTCAATTCATAGTGGCCATTTAATTTGTTGCCAAGTTGGCAGCCCCTAGCCCGACACCTCTAGTGTGTGGGTTTTGTCTATGTTGGCAGCAGAAATAACTAAATTGTGTCAACAATTGTGACAGGCGCAGTAGATTTTTATAGGTGAAGTATTCTAACCCGACGTATTCAGAATTGTCATTTTTTATAGATATGTGCCTAAAAAAACAATTGGATGTTTAAAGTCGCAATTACACAACAACTCAATTTTTACACAATTGACCGCGGTTTATGTTTAAACCGAGGCCCAAACCGTGGTGGAAGAAATAACTCTAGGGATCGTGCCCTATACACCGGCAATGTTAGGTTCTTGGTCGAGCTGTACAAACGCCTTTTATAGCCTGAATTTTTCGCTTAAATGTGCAATCACTAATCAGTGCGCAAGACAAAAGTTGTGTTTCGAATCAACTGACACAAGGTATCAACAATACTCGTATGTGTCTCATTGTTTACGTTTCTTTTGATATTTGTTCTTATTTTTTTAAGATTTTTAATTTTTGTTTTAAACAATTTTTTTAATAATCTGATTAGTTTTAAGTATTATTGTTAATTGTAAGTATATATTAGGTAATGGATGTTAGTGGTCATGGATGAGAAAGCTAGAAAAGGATCGTGAAAAGTTTCACCAGAATTTCAGCTTCTATGCTCCCTCCACAGCCCAAATCAAACTTTTAGTTTAAAAGTTTGAGCTCTAGAGGTGGTACAAAATAAAAGAAATTATGGTTCACTCTATAATTAGTATTAATAACTAAAGAGTGAACCAAAAGTTACAGGTAAGTTCCTGGTAATTTCAGTAATCCTTATTTTTACCTTATTCTGGGTGTTACACTTTTTTGAAAAATTCTCGCTGTAGTTTTCGTTGTCGTAACAGACTGAACTCTCATTCAGCTATAGTATTGAGCTATAGCATTTTGTGCATAAGGTTCTCGTCGATGTTTCATATCTTACCGAAATAAAAATCGTAATTCATAAATTTGTTATTGTAGTAATCGAGGTTGCACTGAATACCCGTCGCTTCAGGCTCAGTAAAGTAACTTGTAAAGATAGATGGCCACGGCGGGCAGATTAGTTAACCAGGGTTATTAATGACCATGTTTAACCTCTACAACCCCACCTCACAACAATGGCCGATGTTTTAACACCACATTACAAGCGATTACGACCGGCTGCTACACTGTTTTAACTCGGCTTCTGATGGTGGTCAAAACTTTGATCAAATTTTAAACAAAGTAAATATGTATGTATACTGAAATGTCAAAAAAAATTAAACACATCAGACTGAAAGAAATCACGACCTATAGCCTACGGCAATGGCTATGTTATCCCAGGAATATTTATAAGGGAGAGAATTTTTATTACGGTTTAAGTTCAGTTTGATGGTGGAGTTAGTTAAAAGGGCTAATGTAATTAATATGAAGAGTTGTAAGCAAGGTCTGATGCCGGGGGCGGAGTCATGCATCAATCAAAATGCTGTTAGTGCTCATCAAGGCTTTAGGATCGTTTGTAGTTTAACCCTCATATAAGTTTGTTAATCGACAGTAATCAATCTACCCGAATAAAAACGTTTTATGCAAAAAAATTCTTTTAAATTTTATGAAGGCAGTTTTACAGAACGATTAGTAATTATAACAATTTTAAACCCTATATTTTTGGAACAGAAAATAATAATACAGTCGCTACTGTTTGACACGACAGTCAGACACAATAATTAAAATTATTAAAGCAATTTTTTATTCTGAAATTTGACATCGTTCTATTTTTCTTTGTTTTTTTCAAGGTTAAAATGCACTTTTTCGCCACGGTTCTGAGAAGAAATTTTTGAACTTATTATTTTTATTATTTCATAAGATCTACATGAGATTCACGCCTTCATTAGATAACAAAGCTCTTTAAATCATTGCAGAAAATGTTATATACATCATGATTATTATTCTGCCAATTCAGACATTAATTCCTCATAAATATTGCATTTTTTTACTAAAAATGTCAGACAGTTTGTTTAGTGTATGAGATGTGATTGTTGAAAAGGTTAAATTGCAACAGTGATAGGTATATGACATAATTATTATAAAGATGTAATGAAAAGCTAGAGGCAACAAGAATTATAATTCAATTGTAAAAAATGTAGCGCTACTGATAAAGTTATTTACGTAACGTGTTTGGAAAATACAGTTTCCCACATGAGCAATTTGTTTGCAGCACGACCGCAAGAAGTGCTAGATGAATTGCGAATGTGGGAAATTGTTTTCCAAATAAGTTAGGTACACTTACAATATTTTTTGAGACGAATAACTCAAAAAAATCAAAAATAAATAATGTATCATAATTTAGTTTTTATAGTTGCTGATGGGTTGCTAACAGTTAAATGGTCAGGTCAGGTCACTTGAAGCCTTTTTTGCCAAACCTTTTTTTATTCATCAGGTTACACTTTATTTTTAAACATTATTTCAAACTCGAAAAATTTTAATTGAGCTCCCGTCATCGCCATCACTGCTACCACTCGAAATTGAGAAATTAGTACAAGTAGGTATACCTAAAGCTAAGAGTGCTGGAAAAAAAACGGTTTATACTTTTTTTCAGTTTTGGGATAGTTATTAAAACATCATTAAAATCACTGAAAATAAACAGAAAGTGACTGCGTTTTTGCATAATTTTATGTTGGTATCAAATACTTGAATAATGATTCATAACACAATAGGAGAGTCAAAAATCGTGCTTATTTCTAGCAACGTGTGCT